TGACATTTGCAAGGGGGAAACCTCAGACCCTTGCAGTGACTTCTTTTGCGCTAATTAACTTAACAGCTACAAGACACAGGGGAGCACAGAGATGCGGAGAAGAGGAAGGAGGATTGCTGTAGTGGGGCTCATGCTGCCCAGGCTTCTGGAGCCTTGAGACACACAGATATGTGTGACCACTTAAGAGACCAGAGTGCCCTCTGCTGCAAACCAGAAGGGCGATACAGCAACCCGAAAAGCAGACCCCTGGAACCACAAGTAAGCCTTGTTCCTTTACTCAATAAAGGAGGCAGAAAAGACAGAGCTGGAACCAGACGGAGTCGGCTGGAGGCCTTAGAAAACAATTGAGTTTGGCTCCGAAATGCCTCAGCAAAGGGAAGCCACGCTCCACAGCATCCGCCAGTGCCAGAGGTCCTTTGGGACCAGAGAAGAGCTTTCGGATCTGTGGGAGACATGGATTCGAGCCCAAAACCGGTCAACTCAATGAAGGACAGCCATCGGGCTCAATTTTCTTGCTCTGGGATGGAAAATAAATGCAATACTCTTGTCCCAACTGCTCTATCTTTCAAGCATCAGAGAAACTGGGAGCATGCATCCAGGTGGAGGAAAGGGAGAAAAGATAGCATTTGAATGTATTCATTTATTCATCACAAATATGTTGTGGGGCCCACTTTGTGCCAGGCTCCTGCCATCCAGGTAGGCATAGCCCAGTAGGGAGGCGGCACGAACAAGCAGCTCCGAGTGTGAGGAGAGTCAGGCAGACATGTGGTGGTTTCACTCTGACGGCCAGAGAAGGATTCCCAGAATTCTAATTCAGCTGTGGCTTGAAGATGCATAGGAATGAATGGACAAAAATGTTGAGAAAGCTTTCAGCAAGGGAAACCAGCATGGAAGAGGGTCTTCAGTCGCAGAGGAGAGGGTGGTGCATTTGTCAAATGAAAGTAAATCACTATTGCTGGAGCCTTAGACAGAAGCACAGTGGATTCCAGGGAAGGCTGGAAGGTCAAGTGCAGTTGTCAGGTGGGGCTTATGGCTTAAGGTTTGAGGAATTTATCCCTGAAGACAGTAGGAAGCCACTGTAGAATTCCGAGTGGTGAAAGGTCACAGCCAGAGTTTTATTTAAAAATATTACAATAGCTGGGTGCAGTGGCACACATCTGTGATTCCAGCACTCTGGGAAGCTGAGGCAAGAGGACAAGTTCCAGCCCACCCTGGGCAACTTAGTGACTTAGCAAGAACGTGTCCCAAAATAAAATATTTTTTAAAAAGGAGTGGGGATGTAGCTTAGTGTGAAAGTGCTTGCTTGGTTCGATCCCTGGTATAGTATTTTTTTAAAAAAGGTTAAAAATAAATTGGAAGGGCAAGAACCATTATATGACAGATAACAGTACTTTGGTCTGGAACACAAGACAAGCATGCAACTAAGTGGGCAGACTTGAGAGTTATTCAATAAATAGAGTCATTCTTCCCTTTAACTACTTCCTGGAGTACCACTACATGCCAGGCACTGTGCTAGGTGCTGGACATACAGTGGTAAATAAGGAAAACATGATCCCTGTGTGTATGGAGGGGAGATGGCCACTCAATCATTTAAATTACACTTGTGATAAGTGCTAAGGAGAAGTGAGGGCAGATGACAGCACAGTCCAGAGAGCCAGAGGCAAGGTTTGATGACAGGTTGCTGTCAGGAAGGGAACAGTGGCACCATGATGAGGAGGGAGGCAGGATAATGAGCTCTATATGGCCCAGTTAAGATACCCAGATGGAGAAATGGCTTCAAGATACAGAAAAGGAAGTTGGCAAAGGAAGCCAAGGGTAGGGACAAGATGAACAGCAGGGAAACACAGAGTGACCAGAGCAGATACTATAAGACATAGAGCTCAAAGGCCATCCATCCCCTGTTTAGTTGTGCATTTGCCATGCCCAGTCCTGGACTTGTCAACTCTTACATAGTAGTGAATGTCTGTTTAAGGAAAAAAAATGCATCATGGAAAATCTTTAGTCTATAACTTGGGTACTAATAGATGATCAACTTAGTGCTACAGTTATCTATCCTCCAGAAGGATAAAAGCAATTAAATTCAAATTAAGAAGTTTATGTCCTGTGTGGTGGACTTCAATCCCTCTACCATAACATGCCCTCTGTTGGTATTGGAATTAGGATCATAATTGCCCTCGATGGTCCCTAACACCTGAAATCAAGATACCAAGAATAAATTAACAATCTGTCTCATCTGGATTTCTTAAAGTTGTAAATAACCTGAGGAGAGTGAGGATAACAGGTTTATGACTTGGAAACATCACTGGAGAAATCATACCCGTTGTGGCTTCCATTACGGAAGAGTCAACAGCAAGCCTGTAGTCTTCACACTGTACATGTGGCAGTGCTGGTAGCCATCTCCAGTTAGGTAGCTGTTTGAGAGTCTTCAAAGTGCTGAAGATTCCCCAGCATCTTAGGGATGGACACCGAGAAGCCCTTCTGGACTGGAAGACTGGGACTCTCGACCCTTCCCTGGGCCATCATTTACGTGCAAGTGAGTGCTAGCCACCCGAGACCCACACCGGGCCGTGCCACATTCTAAATGCTCCAAGGAAAAGGGTGCTGCTCAAACAGTCTCACAAAAGTGTTTCAGCCTCTGAACCTATGAGGGAGGGGAATGGCTTCCCTGGGCTGCTCAGCCCGCCAGACGAGAATAAAGAGAGTTTTCAGAGCTTGGAGTTTTCCAGCTGCCAGGAAACAGGAAGTGCCCAATCCCAAGGAACAGTAAGCCTCACACACACCCTACATAAAGACATGGTGAGCCATTAGCCCTAATTGCCTGTGACTGACACAGGAGTGAGGCTGGCCTTCCAGGCATTTGCTCAGCGGAAAGAAAACAAACAGTTCACTGGGGAAACAGGCGGCCATTTTCCCTGCTTTCTGCCAAAACGATTCTGCTCTGTTCCCCCTAAATTACAGCATACAGATTTGAAATTACAAACCAAAGAAAGGCCTTTCGAGTATTCTGCACCACACATGAAAGAGAAAAGAAATCTCTATAGGGAGTAGTTAAGACATAAGCAATCGGTTAATAACCTTTTCACAAAATCTAAAACTTGACAGTTCTCAGAGCTGCCTCTCAATACCCCAAGTTCGCTCCAGGTTTGGGGTATTACAAATTATTTGAAAAATTTCTCATTTTGTCAACACACTTTATAAAAAGATAGCAGGGCCGAGGATTTAGCTCTGTGGTTCTGCCGCTTGCCTTGTAAGTCCAAGGGCCTGAGTTCAATCCCCAGTACCAAAAAAAAAAAA